ATGCATACCCTTAATTTAAGATCATTGAAAATAAAAGGAGCCTTTAGCCAGGGATCTCTACCACAGTAATCATTGTTCGAGTCTATACATTTGGAAGTTTTCAAAATTAGGGCAAGCGGTACGCTTTGAGGAGGGACTCTGCATTCTTCCCGACTTTCCCCAAGGCGTCCGTGTGTCCTCCCCTCAAGGAGACCGTAACACACGGGCGTGCACGGGCAGAGAGACGAGGAAGGGTGCAGTTCTTTGGTGTCCTGTTCACCGTTCAGACTCCAAAAATAGCCTTTTTTTCGGTCATGAACTGAGATTCAGACTTTGTGGTTGCTCTTTGCACAAGGCACTTTCAGAATTAACTGCACAGCTCGTCTGGCAAAATGTATGTACTGTGATACTGGAAATTCCGTAATAGTGAAAATGCCATGGAATTTCACGTTATAAAGTAGTAGATGCTGCGGTGCATAGACAGCGGCTTTACCCAGGTGAGGGTGCTGGGAGGGCTCTCCCCTCACTGCAGGGACTTGTCACCGTCGCCACCGCCACCGCCACCCTCACTGTAACTGTTTCACGTGGAAATCCCCCCCAAACACACTGCGGGGCGTGAGCAGGGACGGGCGAGTGGGCACCGAGAGCCTGTGCATGACTTTACACGCAGCCCCTCTCCGCTCTCTCTCTGGCCTCCCCCTGGCCCTGTCCTCGGAGCCGCTCTGAATGCGCAGGGTGGCCTGGATGGCGGGGCATCAATGCCCCCTCGCCGGGAGGAGGCCGGGCCCCCTCGGCCAGCGCATGCGCCCCGCGACGACCGGCGGCTCGCCCCGTCTCCCTGGCTCGGCGGAACCAAGGGGCTTTGCCTCATCCCCGCAGTGTGCGGCGGGGCCGGCTCCTGTCCGCCTGTGACTGAGCGACGCGGGAGGCCCCCAGTGTGGGATTCTGCCCATTGGCCCCTGAGCAGCGAGGCGGCCGGCGCCGGGGAAGAGGCGCAGGAGGCGGCACAGCCTCTCCTCGACGTAGCCTCCCGCCACAGGCCAGAGCCAGTCGCGCGGCCTCAGCTCAGAGCGAAGGAAGCGGGACAGGCAGGGGCCCTTGGAGTTTCAGGAGCACCCGCTGCCCTGTCCTAGCCCCCTGCCCCCGCTTCTTAATGACTCAGGAGGAGCGAGGCCGCGGCGAGGCCAGCACGGCCGGGCCACGCAGAGCCGGCGAGGGGGGTGAAGGGATGGGCCTCGGAACAGCAGGCACTGGGAGCCCAGGAGGAAACTCCCAGCGACCCTGGCAGACAAGCCTATTCTGAAATACCAAGGAAGCGCCGCGCTTCAAGACAACCTGGGGGAAACTTACCCTGACAACACAAAATTATTTTATCAGCCGGGGTTTCAAATTTCAAACACTCGGAGCCGGGTCAGGACGCCCCGAGACGCCCGTGTTCCTGCACAGCTGCGGACATGGCGGATGGCGCTTCCTGTGCCTGGGGGTCGCACGGCGCTGCCTGTCTTTGTACGTACCCAGGACTGGTGACGACGGCGGTTCTTACGTGACCCATGGGCGTTTAATCCCTGTCTCCGCCTCAGCCCCCCATGGCACCCCCCCATCCTCCTGCTGATCACTCAGGCAGGGACGGTCGCGCCGGCGTTGCCATCCACGCGGGGCTTAGAACAAGCAAACAAGTGCAGGGGGCATGGCTGCTGACCTTCTGTGACAAAATGAGGGATGTCAGTTGTCTGATGTCACCCCCAAATGACAGAGTCTTGAGGCCCAACTCTAGACAATGCCCCCATCTTTTTCTCAGCAGAGGCGCCCAGCTGGTGGGAACAGGCGCGTCCGCGCTGGCCTTCGGGCCCCGGGTGGGTCCACCTGCTCTCGGCTGGGCCTTGGCAGCGGCGGCCCACCCAGCCTGTTCCGTCTGGGGCGTTGTGTGCTGCGCCTCCACCCGACTCCACGCCTGAGGGGTAGGTCCCGTGTGGTTTCATGGGGTCCAGGAAAGAAGCCAGGTCCGGGGAGGGGTGTTGCCCCTCATTCCCCCATCGGGGGAGGCCCCGCGTGCCTGGCTGAGGCTGGGGGGTCCGTAGGCTGCCGCCAGCCTGCAGCCAGATGGCCCCGGGTCACGGGGTCTCCAGGAGCTGGGGGACCCTTCCTCCCCTACAGATGAGTGTGGCGGAGCAGGCGAGAGCTCTGAGGCCAACCGCTGTCCGTGTGCCCCCTTCAGTCCCAGAACACTTAAGAGACATGTTTGGTGACGGGAAGAAATACTCAGTTGGTGGGAAAGGACATTTCTTAAAAAGCTTGAACCAGCCCACACACAGCCTGACCAAGGACCACGGATGTAACAGTTACTGTTCCTCGGCCTTTCTTGCTTCCCCGGCGGGGGGCGGGGGGGCGGGGTGCGGCCCGGGCCCCGCCCTGGGTGTCCTGCGGAAGGGCGGCCGTCAGCGCCTGCGGGAGGGCGGCCGCGGGTCTGCCGCCGCGTCTGGCGAGCCTCCGGGGGGCTGGGCGGGGCCGGGCCGCGCGGAGCGCCGGTCCCCAGCCCCAGGCCGGCCGAGCGCCCTCCGCCCTCGCTGCGCTCGCCTGGCAGCCCCTGCGGACACTTCCTGGGACCACCCACAGTCCCTTCATCGTCGCTCAGCGTTTGTTTTTCTAGTTGGATTTAGTCTAAGAGTAAACGCCATGAGGCCTTCTGGCCCTCCAAAAAAAGCCATTTCTGTGTAAAGTGAAAATTAGATTCTTAAATCTGCAAAGGAAGCTGTTTATCTTATAAATGTATTCTCTTCACGGGGCCACACAGGCCCAGGACAGGAAGATTAAAGGGAGCGGCCCCCGCCGGCCCTCCGCGCGTCCGCGGCCCGGCGCAGCCCGCCCCGCGCGTGGGGAGCCCTCCGGGCCCGGGCCCCACCGCCCGTTCGTCGGTGCCGTGCCCGCAGGGTCGCCAGGCGCCGCCCTGGGGGCGTGTGCTCCACCGTCCTGCCCGGCTCCACTCTGTCCCTCCCGTTGTCACCGGTGGGCTTGGCGGGAGGAAGACGGGGACGGGGGGGGGCACGGCGCCATGTGCACTTCGCGGCCGTGCAGGCCCCCAGGGACGCGCCCGCCCACTTCGCCCCTGAGCAGCGTCCGGGCACACGGTCCTGCTTCGGATCCAAACTGAGGGCAGTCGGCCGCCTCCCCACCTGAGTGGGGTGGCTGCATGGTGGGGCGGTGACCTCCCGGCCCCCTGCTGTTTCCAGCGGACCCCAGCGTCCCTCCTCGGAAGCGGAGCGCGGCTCGGGGGCCAGGACCAGCGCCTGCAGTTTCGGGGCGACAGGTGGGGAGGCTGGCGGGGGGTTGGCACCCGCTCCCTGTCCTCCTGGGCTCTTGGAGAACCGGCTCCAGGGGACAGAGTTGGAGCAGCCCCGGGAGGCCTCAGCCTGGGGCAGGGGGGCAGGGCCCTGCTGTGCCCACACGTGGGCACGTGCTTACCGCGGCGCGCACTCTCTCGGGCCTGTGTGTTGTCACCGGTGACCAGTGCCAGTCACCTTTCCGCATGCGTGTGGACAACCACAGACTGGCACTGGGCAGAGTGAGTTCCACGGGCAGCCCGGTCATGGAAAAAGGACGCAGGGCAGGTAGACGCACCTCCCCCCCACCCCACACAGCTCGTGCAGGGCAGGGAGAGAGGAGGGTCCGCGCCAGCCCTCCGGGGCCTTCTCAGGGCGGCGCTGTTGCCGTGCACGGTCCGAAGGCGGGAGGCACCCCGAGCCGAAGCGTTCCCACAGTGCTCTGAGCACACGCCCTGGCGAGAATGGCGGGCGTTCGCCCTCGTCCTGCTCAGGCCTGTACGTCTGTCCCTTTCGGCCCTGAGCAGCGAGCCCCAGCCACGGGCTCGCAGAGTGAAAGCGGTTTGCACTGTCCGCGGCTGGCAAGCGGCGAGTCTCGTCTGCTCTGCTGTCAGCAGAAGCCACAGGTCTGTCTCAGGCCCAGAAGGTCCCCCTCTCACAGCGGAGCTGTCGCGAGGCCCCAAGGGCGGCGGAGGCGGCGGCGGCGGGGGACCCGCCAGCCCTGGGGACGTGGGGTCTGTGCGAGCTGTCAGCGGCCACCCCCGCCCCCGCCCTCCCCGGAGACACAGCTCCCTGCCTGCGCCCTGCGCCCTGCGTGCCGCCGCCGCCGCCGCCGCCCCGCTGGCCACGGGTGTCGGCGTGATGTATCCTCTGAGCCCGCGATGTTCCCAGTGTTATTTACTGTTATGTCCCGTCATTTCCGCGCGGAAGGCAGCGCGTGTAAATTTCCCTCCGCTGTCTACGGTTTGGGCTGCACAGGAAATGACGGCAGGACGTTTGTGCCGATCCTTTGCAGACGGAGGTCTCGCGCCCCCGCGCTCCCTGGGCCGGGAGCGTGCAGCTGGGTTTCTGCGCGTGACCTGGGCTGCACCGCTGTGTTCATGGCGGGCTCATTGCGCGGCCACGTTTCCAGACTGTTCCTCTCCCTTCCCCGCGAGCCCTGCAAACAGCAACAGATACAAGACGATGAGGATGATGATGTGTTTGGGATAATTTTCTTTCCTGGCCCAAAATAGCTCTGTGTCTGCACAGCTTGGGGAGGCGCAGAGACACTTTCTTTTCCATTTGTTGCTCCGTAAGATGCGAATGTGGTTTTACTCCACAGCAAACTCCGCGGCGAGTCCGTGTTACAAATTAATCAGATGCAACAAACACCAACATTTTAAAACTTTTGGAAAGAAAGTATTTAATAGGAGCTAAGCAAAAGAAGAAATCAAAGCAGCTGCTGACACAGCTGTTTCTTCTCTTGTTTAATTCAGTTCAATATAAAGGTACCATATGCTGCTTAAGACGATGAGAGAAAAGATGAAATAATTTTAGAGAATAACAAGAAAATACATGAATTGTCAGCATTCTGTCAGATTTAAAGAATGAAATAGACAGGTGTGGTATTGACATGTTTAACTTTGTGTGGCGTTAGCAGTTTCGGTGCGAACAGCTCATGACATGTGCTGAAGTGACGTGCGAACGTTTCCCCCGCTGCAGACATCGGCGACGAGGCGGGGAGAGCGGCCGGCGTCCAGCAGCCCGCGCTGCTTCGCGACCGGAGCCTGGGCTCGGCCATGAAGGACTGCCCGTACTGTGGGAAGACCTTCCGGACGTCCCACCACCTAAAGGTGCACCTGAGGATACACACAGGTGAGCGGCCGGTGTGCGTGCGGGGGCTCGGCTCCGGGGGGCCCGGGGCGCCCGCCCCGTCTCTGGTGCCTGCCGTGTGCATCACTCACGATCCTGGCCCTCAGCGTGTGCGCGTCGGAACCGACCCCAAGGCCCCGGGTCGGCCCTCCGCCCCCCGAGGGCACACGGGTGTGTGGTCCAGGCCCGGCGACCCTCTGCTGGGGGCTCCCTTCTGCCCCATCGGAGGGGCACGCCTGCACCTCGCGCTGACCAGTCCTCCGGGTGCAGAGCCGCGGCAGCCCAGCTGGAACGCTCTCACACGGGAACGGGGGTGTCACCCAGCCCCCCGACGTCACCCAGCCGGAGCTCCAGGCTGCCTGGGGTGGCCGGAAGCGGGCCGTGGGAGGGAGGGTGGGCGACGGCCCCGGGTCGCCTCCGAACGGAAACCGGCGCGCTCTCCGCCAACCCGGGGGACGTGGCCGCGGGCCCGCCCTCGTCCCCGTGTCCCCCACAGGGGCCGCATCTCGGCATGTCGTTGCCGGGCCCCTCAGCGGCAGCGCTTTTTGTTTTCCTGCCACTTGCGTGGACGTTGCCAAGAGAGAAGAAAAATCTATCTGAGACACGGACACCTCCATTTTCTTTGATTTTTTTCCTGACACGCTATCTATTGGAGTGAGAGCTGCTTCAGATGCTAGACAAACACGCCGTCTACTTCCAGAAATAATTGTGGGCTCTTTCCCGAGGAATCGATGAAGCCCAGGGTTGCGTGGGGTGTTGAGCGTCGCCGGCCTCGTGCGCAGCTGCGGTTCTGGCTGAGACGCCCCTCGCCTGCACCCCCACCTGCGACCCCGGATCTCCTGGACCCGGAGGGGTGCCCTGGATGGGGTTGCCGCTCCATCAGCACAGAGAGCGGGGGCGCGGTCCCCAGCCCTCCCGTCCTGGGGCCAAGTGGGGTCTTCCAGAACCTCGGCTGGCCCCCGCCCCTGCCTTCCTGACCCGCCCCTGCGGGGGCCCGGCTCCCGCTGCCGGCATTCGCGCCCACTGCTCCCTCCACCGGGAACGCCCCTCCTCCCAGAGGGCAGTGCCACCTCCTCAGAGGCCGGGACCAACCCCCTGGCTGCTGCGCCCTGTGCCCCGCTGTGTTTTCCTCACTCACCCGCCCTCCCTGAAGTCAACGCCCCCGGGTCAGCCGCCAGCAGGAGGCGAGGCTGGGATGGTGCTTGTGTCTTACGGCGGGATTTCTGGGTGCCCAGGGCCTGCCCCTTTCTCTCAGCGGGCGCATGAGCCATGGTGGGGGGCAACAGGTGCGATGCCGCGTGGGCGACCCGCCTCCTCCAGCCCTGGCGCGGTGCCGGGGGCACCGACGGACAGGCACGAGGGGACGACGGCCCCGCCCTGAGGGCCCCGCGGCCGCATCGCAAGGGCACCGCCAGGAGCTGCGTGTGGCAGCCGGGCTGCCTCCCGGGCACAGCCGGCAGACGCTGCGGGAGTGGGGCGGGGCTGGCGCTGTGTCCCCAGGCCCGCGTGCAGGGCCTGGGCTGCGTCCTCACCCCTGGGTGCGGCAGTGTCCCCTCCTCAGGGTGGCGCCGCTCGGACACCGGTGGTCTCTGGTCAGGAGGCCCAGGGGCACGTTCCTGCCTCGGTGGGAGCCGGGCCCCCGGGCTGTGGCGGAGGGTGTGGGGTCCGCGGGCGGCCGGGACGAGGGCACCGCCCAGCGGGGCGCCCACAGGGGGCTGCTGCAGGAGCAGAGGCCTGGCCGCGTGCCCTGGGATGCTGTCCTTCCCTCAGACGAGGCCGGGACGGAGCCCGGCCCCCGGGGCTGTGGGTCAGGAGAGGAGGGGACCAGGCCTGCGCGCCAGGAGCCCCCCGACCCCCGTCCGCTGGCCTGCGGGTACGAGGAGCGCCCCCCAGAACATTCCGGAGGACGGGGACCGAGGCCGCCAGGAGTCCTTAACGTGGCTAGAAGCAAATGGATGCTTTGAACGTTTTTTGATGTTTGAAGGCTTGAGAAGGATGGTTATTTCAAACTTCTGTTTTTTTTCTGCTTCACAAACTTCTGAAATTTATGGCTGCAAGTCCTGGGGACAGCAGCAGAAGCAAGATGGGGCCGTGGGCCGACGCATTCAGACACATTCTGGAAACTTCCCAGAGCGAGGAGGAGGACCATGAAAGACACCAGGGCGACGCCCCGCCCCCCGGAAGCGGCCTCTGCTGTGCTCCACGGCGAGACGGCAACCAGATAGGGACCAGTTTCCTTTTTATCGAAGAACAAAGAAGTTGGAAACTGCTTGCACGTGTGCGTTGGAACACAGCAGGGAGCGTTCTGCGTGCTCAGGCTCTCTCTCGGAGGGCGCGGCAAACACCCGCGGGGTCAGAACCGTGGCGTCACGGGCCGTCAGAGCCTCACCGGGGCGACCTGTCGGTGAGCAGGCTCCCAGCGGCCCGGCCGTGGCGCGTCCCCTTCCCCGTCTGGTTTCTGTCTTTCAAGGCGACGTGGCCGGGGACAGTGGCCTGCGGGGGGCCGGGGGGGGGAATAGCTGCTTCCCAAAGTGCCGTCTTTTGCGGGTTTTCTCCAGTGGACCCACAGGAGCACACGAGACTCTCGGGGTGCACCCGGCGCATGGGGACTGGCTGGGGGGAGGCGGTCCAGCCCTGCCCCTGCGGGTCCCGTCCCCCGCATGAGAAGTCTTGACCGTGTGGTGCCGGGGGACTGCGGCGGCTCTCCCCCTTTTCCTCCCTCCCTGACGCAGTTCTTGTCTCCTCCCCACAACGGTTTGTCGGACAGGTGTGCGGAGCTGCCCTCAGGTGGTTCTGCATCCCCTGGGCCCCAGCCGGCTCCATGTGACACTGAGGGGGCCGGAGACCCTCAGGTCCCCGGAGCGGCCCCCACGCGGACCCCGCAGAGCCCGAGTTGCCTCCCGTCAGAAACATGGTCTTGGGCTCCTGGACGTGCGCCATTTGTCTTCTGCAGAAAACGCCGCGACTCTCAGAGCCGCTTGGAGTGGCTCCGAGAGGAGGCTGCGCGGGCCGGGCTCTCTGGAGACACAGGCTACGTGTAAATGCATAAAAACGATTGGCCCGCGTGGTTAGGAGGCTGAGAGGTCCCAAGTTCCGCAGGGACCAGCTGGAGACAGGATTGGGGAGGCGTAGACGCCGCCTGAGTCCAAGGGCAGGAGAGGACCGATGTCCCAGCTCCAGGACAGCCAGGCACAGAGAGGCCCCTTTCCCGGCGTCTTGTTCCGTTCAGAACCCCCCCATGGACAGGACAAGCCCACCCACACTGGGGAGCGTCTGCTTTGCTGGGTTCACCCCTGATGGGTTCATCTCAGCCAGAAACACCCTCCGCTGTCTCCACCCTGGTCCCCGGCACCGTGTGGCCAGCCGAGCCGATGCACAGCCTAGAGCCTCAGAGGTGCGTCCACAGACAGGCGTCCTCACAGGCCGTCCGCCGGCCGCGCTGACCGAGCCATCCTGGTCAGGGCGCAGGCCTGGGTTGCGGGTTCAGTCCCGGCCGGAACGCACGTGAAAGGCAATCGATCGGTGTTTCTCTCCCTCCCTCTTCCCCTCAATCAATGAGCGTGACCTTGGGTGAGGATAGAAATACATAAAAATAAATCTTGTTAGATGTTCCGCTCTCCTATTTTGCACTGGTTTCTAAATCTGCGTTAGGGGTGCTGCGTGCCCTGGTCTGGCCTGGACTTGGGAACCAGTAACGGCCACAGTTTGCACTGAGCGCTGGCAGTGGATTCCAGGGGCCTCGGGGGGCCGGGGGGCACAGCTTCACCGAGCCACCCGGCGCACGGGGTACCCTCGGCTCTCGCCTGCATGCTGGTCACTGGGCGCCCCCTCCTCTGCCCTGACGGGACCGCAGAGACCAGAAGGCAGGGCGCGTCCCTCCTGCGCCCAGCGGGCGGCAGGGCCGGGGAGTCAGCGCTCCTCACTCCCGCGGCGGGGTCTGCCCAGCCTGATAGCCGGCTCACCTCAGCAGCTGAGCGCGCACCCCTGCGGCAAGTCCCCTCCGTGGACTCACAGCGCCTGCCGGCCACGCCATGCCAGGTGCGGGGGAGGGAGCTGAGCCGTGCGGGCCCCCAGCACGTGTCCCAGGCTCGGCTGCGGGTCCCCATCCACGTTGGCAAATTGGGAATCGCGTTCCTTTAGCCGCTACTGCTGCATCGTTGCTTTGCTCTTCTGAATGGATGTTGGGCTTCTTTTAGGGAGTGGATGCAGCGTTTTTCTGACACTGTGTGCTCCCACTTGCCCGGCAGGAGGAAAGGAAGTGATGTGTCCTCGCAGGCGTGTGATGCGCTGGCCGCCTCCTCAGCCGCAGTACAGGCCAGCCTCCGGCGGGCCTCAGTGTCCCCACTGGCAGCTCGGGAGGGCCCGAGGCAGGGAACGCGGGCGCAGCGCGCACCGGGCGGCTCACTCCTCTTGCCCATTTCATCCCCAAGAGCCCCTCGGCACTGGCTGCGGGAGGTGTGGGTGGAGACGCAGGTCCGCCGGCCCCACCCAGGCGCTGGCCCTACCTTCCTGGTCCCTCTCCCAGGGGAGGCAGCCAGGACGCCTGAACGTTTATGAGCGCGCACTGACTCTGTCTTCAAAGTTGGGCTGCTCCGCACGGGACCACTCGCCGCCTCCTCCCCGGACACTGTGCTGGTCTCAGCAGGGTCCGGCACCCCCCCACCTCACGGAGTGGTCACAGTCAAAGGAAAAAAGGAGCCGCTCACCCAAGAGGAGACAGTTCTCTTTTTCCTTTTCGTTTTGAATTAAAATCTCGTCGCTTACATATTTCTACGGTGAACGGAAAAACCCCTTTTCTTCCTCCGCGGTCCCCCTTCCTTCTCTTGCTCCCTTAATGACCTCCCAAACTTTTGTGGAAAATAATTGATTGCATTTAAATTTCCTTAAAAGTTGAAGAGGTAACGCTACAGTATAAATTTCCGACCAAACACTAAGTAGGGAAATATCCATTAGTGAAATTAACTACAGTTTCTAGGTAGCTAACAATGTGCGGTATACAGTCGGGCATGCCTAATGAACGCTGCGGTGGGCGATATTTCATTATACAAATTAATGCTCACATTTTAATGGGAAAGTCACATAATGAATCTCGGCTTCCGTGACAGCAATTAGAGACACAGATTGTCCCCTTCTGGACAAGCCACTGTTCAGCAGTCAGCAGCTGTGTGAGAAGTCCTCAGGTTTATAACGTATATATGCTTTGGGGGAATTAGTGCACCATTTATATTTATGCACTGACGCCTCGCCCTGTCTGCCTCGCCCGGTGTTTGCCGAGGAAAGACGCGGAGGAAGACCAAGTAAATACGGGACAGGCGCCGTGAACGCAGGGGAGCCCTCAGCGGCTCCAGGTAAAACCGAAAACCCTTCCAGAGAGGTAGCCAAACAAACTGAGAAATAGCAACGACACGTGAGGAGCCCAAGGCACCTTAAAAGCTTGAGAGACAGGTTTCCGAACAGATCGATGGGAACCCGCTAGTTATTTTGGGAACTTGCTCCCAGTGGCTCCAAAGTAACCCCGCCCGTGGAGCGCGGCGGGTCCTTGGCTGAATGAGCACACGGGCGCGGCGGGCAGGGGGCGGGGCGCTTAGCACAAGGACGGCCCTGGCGCGTGGCCGTGGGCGCCGTGAGCCGGTCCGGCCGGCGGGCCACTCCCTCACATGGCGGCTTGGAGACGCTCCCGACGCGTTGCCGAAGCTGAGCGCACCGCCCATCGCTGCGTCCGCGGGAGCTTCTACTCCTGGAAGACGGTTTCCGTTGCGTCGATGAGCTGACGACCGCTTGTTGTGTCTTTTCTAGCAAGGCCTTCTTTGAGCCCACGGGCTGCTCCCTTCAGAGGCTGGGCGTGGTCCCCCGGGAAGGCCGCCCGCGTCGGGGTCGGGACGCTGCACTCAGCGCGAGACGCGGGCCTCGGCTCGGCCGCCCGGTGCAGGCCCGTCTGTGGGCTGCGGAGCGGGGCCTGTGGCCCTCCGCGTCTGGGAGAGTGTGTCAGTGGGTGCCCGTGTGTAAGAGCAGGGTGTAGCATGTAGAAACCTGGAGGTGTGGCTCTCGCTGGCATGTCAGCGGTCCCCGTGCCCACTCCTGGCCGGACAGGAGTGGCGGCCGCCCTGTGGGAGAGGCGTTGGGTTCCCAGCCCGCTGTTGCCCGCAGCCCGGATCAGCCCAGCTCCCAGGGCCCCGAGGGTGAGGCCCCGACAGCAGGCCGGGGCGGAGGCAGCGTCCCAAACATCGCCGGGGACCCCCGGGAAAGCTTGGGGCAGCCTGAGGGGCCTTAGAAGGTCTTGACTTGTTTATAAAGGCCCCGCTGGCCAATCTCTCGAGCACATGGAGTAGCTGCCAGTCTGAGGCTTCCCGGGCCCCTTGGCGGTGAAGCCGGGGAAGGCGGAGGGCTCCCAGCAGAGGAGGGATTCGAATCATGAGGGGTCATAAGGAGAAGGGCAGATTTTTTGTTAGTTTTTCCAAACGCAGGCCTGAAAGGGGAGGTTTGTCCCATGAAGCGCCCCTCTGGGAAGTGAGGGCGGCCGAGGGCGCGGAAGGCGGAGGGGCCCCCGGGACTCCCGGATGCCTGGTGTCCATGCGCCGCCGCTTGCCCCGTGAAGACACACCAGGGCCCTGGGCCCCGGGGACTCAGAAGTTTGGGATGAGCCGTTCTCTTCTCAGCGACGACTGTTCCCCGCGCAGGGAGGCGGGGGCCTGTCTGACAGAGGGAGGACCGTCTCTGCGGGTGCGTGCATGCGTGTGCAGCGTGTGCAGCGTGTGGTGTGTGCCCGTGAGTGTGCCCAAGCGTCCCGGGGTTCAGAGCTGGTCTCAAGCCTCACGGAACAGGAGCTCCAACCTGCCGCGTGGCCGGGGGAGGAGGCGGAGGGCCCCACGTGAGCGGCCTGTGCCCAGGGCAGCGCAGAGCAGCTCTGGGTTCCCAGTCCCCGGTCCCCGGAGGAGGCTCTCAGCGCCTCCCGGGTGCAGAGGTCAGGGGAAGACTTAGGTCTTGCAGGCTGCAGGCAGAGCCAGCAGACGTGGCGTTAGGTGTCTGCTGCTTTTAAAACTCTAGCAATTCCACTTTAGCTTTTCCAAGTGCGCTCTTTCTGGTCCGCCTGAGAGTCTCCCGGGACGCTGGCGAAATGCCCGCCTCCCGGCCCCCACCCCGACCCGGGGCGTCAGGACAGGAGCTCACCCCCCCCCTCCACCGGCCACCCCAAGGCGTGGCCCAGCTGGAGAACCCCAGCTCCCGCGTGCCTTTGAGTCCCTCGGAAATGCGCCCACGGATGCCGTGTGCCCTGCCCAGCCCTGCAAGCTCGGCCACGCCTCCCTCCGCTGCTCCCCAGCGAGGCCTGGGCACCGGCTACAAACCCCAATGTGATTAATGATTAAGACGCGCTTAATCGTCCCCAGGTGCGTCCCTGGAATGCAGCCTGCGTCTCGCCCAGTACCTGCAGGCCTCGCCCCCGCCCCCACGTTCCCGCGGGCCCAACCCCAAGGCCCCGGTCCGGCCCTCGTGGCCCCGGGCCCGCCACCTCCCGCGCGGCCTCAGGGGCTGCCTCTGCCCCCGACGCCAGGCCAGGCCAGCCCCGAGCGCCCGTCCGCAGCCTCTGTCCCCACGGAGCGTGTCTCCAGTGAGGTGCCCGAACAGCAGAGGTGGCTTGAGTGTGGGCCTCACACGGGACTGAGTCCGAGAAGCGGAGATGGCGCCCAGAGCTGCGGGGCCGCACGGCCAGGGGCGGCAGCTTCCTCTGGGCCCACGAGCCAGAGCCGCCGGGCCGTCCCCTGAGAGGCCCCCCCACCCCAGGCCCACAGGCCACCCCGGTGCTGCCCGGGAGCCGGCCGCTGCCGCCGCCGCGCGGGGGAGGCCGGCGCTCAGCCCGGGGGGCCTGCCGTACGGCTCAGAACCAGGCCGCCCATCCTCCTGCTGGTGACCAAGTCCTCCCTCGTCAGCGGTGCCACCCGCGTGCCCACACCCGGAGCGCGGGGGTCACGGCGTCGGCTGCGCCCAGGCTCAGGAGGACGTGCCCTCGCCAGGCGTACAGTGGACGAGGGCAGGGCGGGGACCCCGCGCCTCCCCAGAGGAATCGCGGCCGCCTTCCCCCGGGAGAGCGTGTCTGTCCCAGCGCTGGACGGGCCCTGCGTGGCGAACGCCTTCTGGGGATGCGTGTGACCCCACGGTGTGTCGCCGCCTGTCCCCCACCCCCGCCCCTCCATGGGGCAGGTCCCCGTGGCACGGGCCGGGCCGGCGTCTTCTCCACAGAGGAAGGAACAATAGAAGTTGGGTGTGGAATCTAAATAAATATTTAATTCATGAAGATGATCTTACATGTTTTAAAACAGTCCTTAAAGCTATTTTTATTCTCTAGAAAGCGCTTATTACAGGTAAATTACACATTTTACTACCGGAGCATTAGCTTTGCCATTAGTACAAATTTAAGGCACTACAAAGACCCGTAGATAATGTTAATTTCAAATACAGAAACTAAATATATTTTGTGCCTTTTTATTACTCATTTTCTTTTAAGTTTTATTGACTGCTTTTTATCTTAACTATATGTCTTTACATGCTGCAGTCATAATGCACCGTAATGGCATTAATATTTTATAGAATCGGTATTTATAGGTCTTTATTTGGAAACAGTGCCGTGGGTCTTCAGCCATCCGAGCCCGTCTGCAATGGTACCCTCCAAATAATGATAAATTGCTCGTGCCGTGTGCCATTTGCTAATTATATCCATGATTTACTGCAGAGCAAGACTTAAATCATTCATTGCAGTCTTGCGTAACAGGGCCATAAAATTTTTAGGTTTAAAAATGGTTTCCATGTGTATAATTTAAACAAATTTCAGAGCTATTGTATACACAAAATATTGCAACCAGCCATTTGTTACATACTTTGTCTTTTTAAACTTCTACTTTTAATGATCACTGTGGTTGAAATTATTATGCTTAATTTTCATAATCATAGCTTTTAAAATCTATAGTCGTTTTCACATGTTAGATAAAGAAAAAGATAGCTAATTGTGTGTAGATAGTATGTCATTCCTGAATAGTCCCAAATGGTACAAAATCATTAAAAAGGCTTAAGAGTACGAATTATTCTTCTATTAAAGAGCAGTTGTTCTCTGACTAATTATTGGTTGGAGTTGCTTTGTTGCCAAGAACAAATGCCGACCCTCCTGGCCTTGTTTAGCGCACCCAAGTGAGACCAACACTTCTTTTTCTCTCCTGTACCAAACCCTTGCAGGTGAGAAGCCCTACAAATGCCCCCACTGTGACTACGCCGGCACCCAGTCCGCGTCCCTAAAGTACCACCTGGAGCGCCACCACCGGGAGCGGCCGAACGGAGCGGGGCCGCTGTCCGCGCAGCCGCCCAGCCAGGACCCCCGGGACGAGCTGCCGGGCAAGGCCGCCCTGTTCATCAGGCCCGACGTCCTGAGGGGCGCCTTCAAGGGCCTCCCCGGAGTGGACTTCCGAGCGGCGTCGGCCTCGCAGCCGTGGGCGGCGGGCATGCTCTCGGCTGGGGACCACCCCGGCCCGGCCCCCGGCATGTCTTCGGAGGCCCCCTCAGACGCCCTGAAGGGCGCCGACCTCCCTTCCAAAAGCAGCCACTTCCCCGAGGTCGGGAGGGCCTATCCGAGCGTCGTGAGCAACGGTGTGACCTTCCAGGGCTCCCTGCAGGCCTTCATGGACAGCTTCGTCCTCAGCTCGCTGAAGAAGGACAAGGACGCGAAGGACAGAGGCCCGTCCGACGCGCCCTCCGCGAAAGCCCTCGGGGCGGACGGGGCCGAGGACAAGGGCGGCAGGAAGCCGGCCCTGCGGAAGTCGGAGAAGTCTCAGTACGAGCCCCTGGACCTGTCCGTGCGGCCCGACGCCGCCTCCCTCCCAGGCTCCCAGGTGACGGTGCAGGACAGCGTCGCGTGGCACGGCTGCCTGTTCTGCGCCTTCACGACGTCGTCTATGGAGCTCATGGCCCTGCACCTGCAGGCCAACCACCTGGGCAAAGCGAAGCGCAAAGACCACGCCGTGGGCGTGGCCGTGCACTGCCCGGAGCACGCCCGGGAGGCTGGCAAGGCGGCCCTGCTGCCCTCGGCACAATCAAGCAAGGAGGCGGCGCTGGCCGGCTCGCTGGGGCCCCTGGACGCCGCGTCGGAGAAGGTGGCCCAGGGACAGGCCAGAGAGGCGCTGGGGGAGAGGAAGCCTGGCCCGTGGCCCGGCCACGTGGACCCCGCGTTCTGCAACTTCCCGTCAGACTTCTACAAGCAGTTCGGCATGTACCCCAGCGCGGTGGGCTCGGGAGCCCCCAGCTCCTGCCCCAACAAGGGGCCGGACGGCAAGGCCCACGCGGAAGACGACGCCCCGATCCTCATCCCCGACGCCATGGACAAGACCGCCGGGGATGACCTCTCCGACGTGGCCTCCTCCGAGGACGCGGACTCCCCGAAGGGGGAGACCAACGACGACGAGGAGACCGAGACGGAGCCGGAGATGACGAGGAAGCCGCTGTCCGCCCTCGGCAAGGACGGCAGCGGCGACGGAGGGGACGGCCCGCAGCCCGTCCAGGGACTGGCGCCAGCCCTGCCCCAGGTGTCGGAGAAGCCGTGGCACAGCCCGGGCCTCCTGCCGGCCCAGGACGCCGCAGCGGGCCTGCCCAGGCCGGAGCGGGCGCCGCCGGGCCTGGAGAAGCCGGCGAGCGTGCTCTCGGTGCTCCGGGCCTATAGCGCCGACGGCCTGGCGGCCTTCAACGGCCTCGCCGGCAGCACGGCCGGCCCCGGGGGCGTCAAGCGGCCCGACCTGTGCGGTAAGTTTCAGCCTCCTGCTCCTCGTTTCCCAAAGCTTCTGCGCTGATGTGTGCGTTTTGTTTGTATTTTGCCAAACGGGGCAGGCTTATTCACGGGCAGATTCGGGGCTAAACATGGAAGGGGCCCCAGCGACGCCCCATGTGCTGCGCAGGTGGCGGCGGCGGCGGCAGCGGCGGCAGCCGCACCGGGAGGGCTGGAGGGCGCGCGCTTGCGCCCCGGTGCACGGCCTGGACGCCCGCCCGGAGGCGGGACGGGCCGCTTCATGCGCGGGAGCAGCTTCTGGGGCTAACCCGCATGGTGAGCGGGGGAAGATGCTAAAAATACCAAAGGGAGAAGAGACAGGGTAACTTGCAAACTTTTCAGTATCTGTAACTCGCGCGTGAGATGCCTAACGCCCTGGCTGGCCGCTCGCTGAGCCTGGCTGCTGTCCTGCGTCCTCCTCTCGGTAACCAGCAGGCTTCTCAGGCCCTGCGGCGAGCGCATTGCCCGGGCGGGGGCGGCGGGGGTTTGGGGCTCACCTTCAGGCACACCCCGCCCACACCCCGCTGCCGCGCATGTGACTTCGGCCTCCTGTGCTACTGTCGCCTCTCCTGCCTGCCCGCCTGCCTCTTCCCCGGTCGGTCTGTGGCTCTGACGGGCAGCCTGCACCGTGTGGCCCGGGCCCCTGCCCGCCTGCTCGGGGCAGCACGCGGGCACTCCTTCGCATCCTTGAAGAGCAGGGGTCCCCGAGGAGCGCCCGCCTCTTAGCAAGTGACGACCACGTGAAGCCTCGGGTGGCGTCGGGTGAACGTGAGGCGGGGCGGGGCGGGGCAGGCACGCAGGTGGTCTTCTGGGAGCTTCTCCCCGAACAGAAGCTCAGCCCCAGACACCCCCAGCAAAGACAGGCGACGGCGGTGCCTTCCGCCTCCGCCCTGGGCGTGCATTTCCGTGACTGGCGCCACTTGCGGAACGAAGGGAAGACGGGACGGAGGGAGAGAGAGAAGGAGGAAGGAGGGAGTATTTTTTAACCTCTGAATCCTGACATTCCTCATATACTCGGTGGGATCCAGGGAGCTGGACTCGGTTCATAGCTTAAATTGATATATTTCTTTTTCCCTGTCCTTCCCTAACTCATTAGGAACTGGATCAAGCAGTCAGAAATATTTTTTGAATTGTCAAAAATCACTAAATGGATTTCTGACAGCTCCAAAAAATATTGACAGTCCCTTCTGCTGAGAGGCTCGCAGGCCCGGCAGCCCGTTCTATTTTTAGCCACACACAATTCATTACTTTTGAAGCTGTTCAAAACAATATTTAAAAGGCGCAGAAAAGGGTTTTATGTCAGTCCAATTTTTTCCCTGTTCTTCTGGGGGAGTGGCGTTTTAACTTTTTTTTTTTTAATTGTTGTTTTAATATTGTGATTAGGACTGGTTTTTATTTTTTTTATTGTTGTTTGGGGATTTTTTAAAGTCTGTTTTTAGTTCTTTCAAATACCTGAGGAGGACCCTACCTCCTGCCAGAAATGCGCGCATCAGGAGAGCGCACACCGGGCGCGTCCCTAAGCTCGATCTCGGTGACACAAGCTTGCGTTGCCCCTGTTAATCTCGTGTCCTGTCGGTGCCGGGGGAGGGGCGGGCAGGCAGACCTAGCGGTGTCCTTGGGCCCCGGGGCGGGCGAGGGCGGCAGCCGGCAGCCTGCTCTGCCTTGGGAGCCCCTTTTCCTCTGCACTGGGCCCCGGGCGCTGCCCAGCCCTCCCCCAACAGCGGCTCCCAGTGCCCCCGCGTTTCCTGGGAACGTGCGAAACCTCTGCCCAGTCAGCCTGTCTGGGCCCCTGTTTCCTCCCACGTCTGGCCCCCGTTTCCTCCCGGGCTGCCGCGGTGCCCCGGGCCCAGGCACGTGCTCCCTCCTCGGAGCCGGGAACACTGTGATCCTCTGGGCTGCCTCACGGGCCCTGCGTGGGCGGCATTTCCCCCGAGCCTGTGCCCTCTGCTCCCAGCATCGCAAGAAGCTCCGCGTAGTTGAGAACGTGAACCTCCATTGGCTGGACTCTGCGAGGGGAGACGTGGCGGTGGCACAGAAACCCAACATTCCCAATGTTGACCCCCCTCCTGCCCCGCTCGGTGGACGTGGATCCCCAGCGGGCCGGCCAGTGTGCGCCCTGGTTCGCTCGGGAAGCGGCGCCTGGCCAAACCAAAGAATTATCCCAGCATCTCTTGCCTCGGAAGGGTTTGCGGTGGGGTTTTTTCTGGGTGGCAAACCCAACTCTCCGCTTCGCTGCCTCTAGGAACAGGCTCATAGGAGGCACGGGGGGTGGGCCCTGTTTGGGTCTTCATGGGGGTAAACGTGATGAAAGCGGACCACAAACTGCTCCCGTCACTCAGACGCCGCTCTGACCCCTGCTGTGACTTGGGGAAGGGGCTTCTGACCCCGAGTCTGCGGGTGACACTCACGTCGCAGGCCCACGTGCAGGTGCCTCGCTAGGTCTTGTCCCTGCTTCCCAGCTGTGACACCTCAGGCCCTCCCTCCCTTGGTGTCAGGGACCTGGGGTCCTGGCCGGTGTGCGCTGCCTGCCCCCAGCCGGCCCACTGCAGACTCTGGTGCGGGAGAGAGGCCGGCGGCGTGTGCGGCACTCAGAGCATGGGCGGGGTTTTCGCGAGGTCCCCCCCAGGGGACAGAGCCCTCCGGGGTGTGGCAGTTGGCCAAGGAAGATGTCACACCCTTCGGGTGGAGCCGGAGGAACGCGCCCCGGCTCCAGAGAGGGCCGGGCCCCCAACCTTGTTACGCGAGACCCTGCCCCAGTCGGCTGTGCCTGTGTCCGGCGGGGCCTTGGGCCTCTGGCCGGCGCCCGCCCTTCCGGGCCCTGAGGAGGACATGCCGGCCGGGCCCTCTGCGGTGCGAGGACGTGGGTGTGCATGGTCCATAGGCCTGGGCGTGACCTCGGCTTTCTGACGGGACAGGGTCCGCGTGGTGTCCGATCGGGGGTGGGGCCGGCCAGAGCAGCGCCTCCCTCCACGGACAAGGCCAGGCGGGCAGCCCCTTGTCCAGCCTGAGGAATCTGGCGACACGTTGGGCCAACCAGCGGCTGGGTGACCCACGGGCCCCCAGAGGGCACCGGCCTCCCGGCAGACGGACGGCAGGCCGCCCACGGTGCCCAGGGGCTGGCCGCTCTGGGGCTGGAGTTCTCGGACGCGGACCGTGAGCAGGCCAGCCTTGCCCCATGCCTCTGGGCCCCGAGCAGACGCTGGGGCCGGCGTGGGCGGCGTCTCGTGTGCAGAGTGGCTGGGTCCACCGCGGAGCCCGGGGCAGGGTGATCGGAGGGATCGACATATGGAGGGAAGGGGGCGCCTGGTCCCCACTCCCTGGAGCTCCCTCTGAAGCCGCCACCTGTCAGGGCCGCAGGGAGACTCCGCCAGCGGGTCCGCCGCACGCACGGGGGCCTGTGCTCCTAGACGGAGCGCCCCCGGGCCCGGGAGGAAGGGAGAGAGAAGGCGGGTCGTGCACAGCAATAGCTGCCACATCCCCCGTTTGCCTCCCTCAGCCGAGAAGGTGGCTCGTCTGGCCCCACGTCTGGCGAGAGTGAGGGTCTCTCCCAGCAGTAAGACAAGGGGTCCCTTCCAAGAAAGATAAGGAGGGGCCCCCCTCCTGTCGCCTCAGGCGTTCTAACCCGGAACGGCACGGACCGGACGGCCACGCCGGACCGCCTGGCGTGCGACCTCTGTCCTGCGCACGCCGCGCCACGTCCCAGCACAGCCCGACCGGACACAGTCGCCGTGTGTCGCCACCGCGCAGTGGAATGCAGGGCTGGCCGCTCTTTCCTCCACAGGCTGGGGGTGGCTCCCCAGGCTGGCAGCCGCGTGGCCTCTGCGCCCGGCCCGCGCAGCCTCGGCCAGGAGCGGGAGGCGCTGGTGGTCCCGCGCAGCCACAGTTACCCAGACAGGCCGCGGGCGGGGCCGGCCGCCGGTCAGCGGCGCCCGCTCCGGCTTCGAGTGTCAGGTTGCTGTGACCGTCCCTTGTCCCTTGAGAGGACAGGCGGAGCCCTGCCTGCCACTCCTCCCCCACCGGTGCGGCGAGGCGGGGCAGACCCCTGTCAGTGGCCACACGGCACCCTCCAGGGCCGTTCAGTGCCAAGGCCAGGGGCGCGACTGGCACCTTGGAGGGGGTGGGGCGGTGCGCCCCAGGGGCAGCGGGCACAGCCATCCCGGCAAGGCCGCTTCTTTTCCCGTGCGGCAGGAACACCAGCGGCCCCGCCCCATGCACGGAAGGTCCCAGCCAGCCTGTCAGGACGAGGCCGGCAGAGGACGGAGAGGCGGGGTCCGCCTTGGCTCCGGGGCGCGCCTGCGCGGGGGGCCGCTGCTGTCTCCCTGGGGGCCAGGCGCGCGGCGAACGGAGACAGGGTTCTGGGCGTGGCTGCGGCTCTCACGGGGGCCGGCGTTCAGAGTGGCGGTGACCGTCCTCAGGAGGACAGCGCGAGGCAGCGACGCCTCTGTCCTGGGGTCCTTTGGTGGCGATTGTCCCCTGGGCAGGGAGAGGCCCGGCCTCACTTCTTCCCCAGTGGTCGCGGGGACGTGTCCCAGCCCTCGCGTCCGCCGCGCTGGCCAGTGACCACTGTTTCTGGGCACATGGGAAGGCAGCGCGGAGGGCGGTTCTGGCGCTTCGGTGACGAGAGCCCCCCACGGGCGTGTCCAGGGCCAGAGGCCAAATCCAGGAGGGGGGACGTTGGTCCTGTTTGGAAGGCCAAGGACAGATCCCTTTACTCGGTGCAAATCGCCGTCCCACCTGCTCTGCCTTGCTGGCTCCCTGGCTCTGGGGGGACGAGGTGTAGGTGCTGTGCCCGGGTCCCCGGCAGAAGCCAGCAGCCCTGGGCAGGCTGTGCCCGCCCTCCCCCAGCTGTGGGAGGTGCCATCTGGCGCGGGGACCGAGGGGCAGCCTCCCCAGCCCTCCCGCAGCCCCTCCGCTGCCCCCCGCCCTGTGAAAGAAGGAGGGCACTCGGCCTTGGAGGGCAGAGCTGAGGCGTGACGTG